CCTGCCACGTTTCTGCCGGCATGGCCAAGGCTCAGGTTGGCCTGACCTGGCGTGTGGACCCCTAGCTGAGAACCTGAGCTTCTGGGAGGCATGCGAGGAGCTGCGCCACGGAGGGCAGGCCCAGGTCCGCGCCATGGTGGACGCCGTGTACCAGTGAGTGCCGAGGGGCAGGTGCCGGCTGGCCGCTAGGCCTGCGTGCGGAACCCGGACCCACAGGGCCTGTCTCCCGTCCTCCTCCTGCCGACACAGGCAGTTCCTGGCCCCTGGCGCTGCCCGGTGGGTCAACATCGACAGCCGGACGATGGAGCGGACCCTGGAGGGTCTGCAGCAGCCCCACCGCTACGTGCTGGATGACGCCCAGCTGCACATCTACATGCTGATGAAGAAGGTGAGTGTGCAGGCCGGGAGGGCTCGGGGAGTGCCTGGCCCCGTGACAGCTGGGTCTGCACACCCACTTCTCACCGGCTGCTGGCATGCTTAGACCTGCGACCCAGGCTCCACTTTCACAGAGGGGCAAACTGAGGCTCAGAAGGGCTGAGGGCTTGCCCAAGCCACAGGCCTAAGGAGAGGTCCAGTCGTGATTTTAGAAAGGGTTTTAATATGGGGCGCCTGGGTGGCTCAGTTGGATGGGCATCCGACTCTTGATTTCGACTCAGGTCCTGCTCCCAGGGTCATGGGATCAAGCCCCATGTCAGGCTCTGTGCTGGGCATGGAGCCTGCTTGAGATTCTCTCTGTTTCTCTCTCGCTCTCTGCCCCTCCCCCACTCATGCTCATGCTCTCTTCCTCAAAAGAAAAGTATTTTAACATGGAAAATCTGAAACGTGAACAAAAACATAGTAAAATGACCCCCACATACCTACTGCCTGGCTTCAAAAACAGTCAGCTCAGGGCCTATCCTGATTCATTGTCTATCCCTGCCCCCCACCCCGTGACTTTAAAGCCATTTCCAGACTCCCTATCTGTAGATACTTCAAGATCCTCTAAAAGACATGGACCCCCTCCCTCCCTTTTCAACGTGACCCCAGATGTCAGTATCACATACTGAACACAGGGTCACTCAGTGTCCTCAAAGAGCCAGTCGGGGTCAAAACTTCCTCACTTGGCCTCTGTGTTTAGTTCCCTGTTGTTGTTGTAAAAAAACACCACAAACTTGGCTTAAAGCAACACGAATTTATTCTCTTAAAGTTTTGGAGGTCAGAAGTCTGACACAGGTCTCCTGGGGTAAAGTCAAGGTGTGGGTGGCACTGGTTCCTTCTGGAATCTCCAGGGGAATCCCATGTCCTGCCTTTTCTAGCTTCTGCAGACGCCTGCCTTCCTTGGCACCTCCTCCTCCTGCGTCTTTATGCCGGTAGTCTAACATCTCTGACCTGTGTCTCTGGTCCTCCTGCAGCCCCCTCTTTGACTTATAAGGGCCTGTGGTGACACTGAGCCCACCTGGACAATTGAGGGCCTCTCCCCACCTCAAGATCGTTGACTTAACTCACATCTGCAAAATCCCTTTGCCTTATAAGAGACACCATCACAGTTCCAGAGGTTAGGGTATGGACATCTCTGGCATCTTCCCCTCTGAATGCCACAGCCAAAAACTCACCTGTTTTTTCAATTTCCTTGAATTTGGGTCCGAACGAAGTCCATATGTCAGAATGGGTTAATAAATCTCTTAAACCCCCTTTTATTTATTTATTTTTATTGTTTAAGTTTTTTTATCTTGAGAGCGCGTGAACAGGGGAGAAGCAGAGAGAGAGAGAGAGAGAGAGAATCCCAAGCAATCTCCACACTCAGTGCAGAGACCACCTCGGGGCTTGAACCCCGCGAGATCGTGACCTGAGACAAAATCAAGAGTCGGATGCTCAACTGACTGAGCCACCCAGGTGCCCCTTAAACCTCTTTTTAAAGCAGAGGCTTCTTCTCTACCTTTTCTTCTTTTTTTGTTTTGTTTTAAAGAAACTGGAGGTCCTTTGTCCTGTGATTTCCCACAGTCTGGGTTTTACTAATGGCGCCCTCGTGGTGTCCTTGTGTGTTTCTGCCGATTGGTAGTTACGTTTAAGACTTGATCGGATTCATCTTCAGTTTTTTCGTGTATTTGGTTTTGCCAAGGGTCTTTACTTCAGAGATGGTGTTCGGTGTGTTCTCCCATCGGGAGGTACGTGGGGGCGCCTCTCCTTTTGTGACGGGAGCAGCCTGTGGCTTCGGTGCAGGCAAGGAGCTGGCTCGTCCCTGCCTCTGTTTAAGAGGGGGGACACTGCTCTGAGACACCTCTTCTCGCCTGCTCTTTGTGGCACAGTCGTCCAGGGAAGGCAGGATCAGTGCTTGACCCCTTCTTTTAGTCACCAGTTTTCACAATAATGCATCGTACCCACGGTGTCTGCCAAGGGTGGTAAGTCTGAGATAGTTTTAACCCCGATGTAAATCCACACTCTCACCAGATGACGGGTTTCGTTCCGCTCTGGTTCTTACCCTTAATTCCCGTGCAGAGGTCCAGCCTGCCAGCTGTTGGCTCCTGGGGCATTTGATGTGTCCTGAAATCCGTGCTGGCTTTCTTGCCTTCTGGTGTGGTGGCTTGTCCCCGGCTCCACCTGTGCCAGAACTGGAGTCAGCCGTTTCCATGGGAAGCCCTGGCTCTTTTTCAAGGGTGTTTAGAAACCTTGACACACACGCTGATGTGTCCACTGTAACCTGAACTGTTTCGGGCCCTTTCAGTGAACAGAAGTAGGAGTATCAGTGTTTTAAACAGGATACATCAGGAGCTCGTACTGATGCTTCCTTTTTTTATTATTAATTTTTAGTTTATTTGCGGGAGAGAGACGCAGTACGAGTGGGGGAGGGGCAGGGAGAGCGAGAGAGGGAGACACAGAATCTGAAGCAGGCTCCAGGCTCTGAGCTGTCAGCACAGCATCTGATGTGGGGCTCAAACTTACGAACTGTGAGATCATGACCTGAGCCTGAGTCGGACGCTTAACCAACTGAGCCATCCAGGCACCTCTACTTT